GCTGCACCGCCTGATCACCCCCCTGCTCCTCCTCCCGCCAGAGAGTCAGTTTGGCGGCGAGCCCACCCGACAGAGAGGGAAGACCGCCTGCGAGCAGGACGGCGGCGGCGGCGGCGCGCTGAACAGCGTGGAACAGGTAGACGGGGTACCTTAAGGGGACGCAACTGCCAATCTGTGCGTGCGAGCGGCCGTTGACAAACGACGACGAGCATTCCCTCCTCCTGGGTACATAGGGACGTCTGCGGCGGCGGCGGCGCGGCGGGCAGCAGCTGCCGCACCGGCTCACTACTGACCGACCGGCCGAAAAGACAAAACGACACCGACTGCGCGTCCTGGGGGTCGTGCGGCCACGCAGGGCAGGACACTTTGAGACGGTGGTGGTGGTGGGGTACACCAGGTACACGATGAGCGACGGGCGGCCCGCACGCGCACGCCTAGGTCGCCTAATGCCGAACTGTCTAATTCGGCTAACGAATGCAGAAGAAGAGCGGGAGCGGGTAGGGTAGGACATAAAGATTCCTGAATGGTCGAGCTTCTACCCCGTCTACCGAATACCGAACAAGCGGGAATATCTCGACCATAAGGAAACGTTCATGTTCTACCTGCTCTTCTTCTGCCTCCGAAACACACTATTTTCGACTCACTCTGTCGGTGTCGTCGAGAGCCATCACTCTGGCATTCGCGCTGTCTCTGTCATTCACCCGCCTCCTCTTCCTGTCACTCTCTTTCTATTGTCCGAACTCGCCTCTTCAGTGAACTGGCCGTGCGCGAGGCGATTTGGTTTATTGCGTCACCTTCTTGCGTTTTCGTGCCGCAAAAGTGGGGGTCCGGGTATCCCGTGATGTCGCCGTCCACTCCGCGCCGCGCCGCCGCGCCGCCGGCCTCCTGACCCATCTCGAGAGCGACAGTGTCGACGGTAAAGACGATCTGCTTGTCGTGCTCTCGAGGCGCTTAGCGCTGCCATGAGGTGCAGGGGGGCGAGCCTTAGTCGCTAAGCGCGCGCGGTCACATCGACAAAAATCACCAACCTTTTAATGAAATAGCCAACAAACAAATAACAAAAAAAAAAACAAGAAAAAAAAGAGAGCGCATAAAACAACACCTCCCCCCTGTTTGTTTGCATCCATATGGACATTTTCAGCAAACCACCAAAATAGCAATAAATGATACTACATTAAAAAAAATCCGTCAATTTGACAAATTTATTGATTGATAAGGAAAAAGAAATTACTTCTCTTAAACAGGAGGTAGTTTTAGTAATATATCCATTTCAAAGATAATATACTGATAACTAAAGATGAAAAAATAAACTTCTCTGACACATGTGGTAGTTTAAGTTAATTCGTCCTTTTCAAAGATAACTGGTCAGGGAGGTTGTACATGCACATATAGAGAGTGCCAGCTGGTGCTGGCGGAAGGCTTTGCGCAAAGTGTTGATATTTTGAGCGGGCTAGTTCTGACAATTATTTCTATCTATGGTTTTTTAGGTAGGACAATTTCAGAGCCAGCCCGCTCAAGATGCAACACTGTTGGCAAAAAATGACCTCCTCACAAGTAGAGCAGTGGCACTGGGAAGGAGGGCTTATTTGGGTAGAAAGTACAGGGAAGGTCTGGTCGCGCTGCTCTGCTGAGGGAGGGGGGCGTGGCCAGTGGCCAGCCCGCATCGGCCCCAACAATGGGGCTCGAGGCAGGGCCCGAACAGAGCCCGTGGGGCCGAGCCACACTTAGAATGAAAACCTTCAAAATTTTTGTTAAGAGCTCTCAAAATAATACTATTAAATGTGGAAAAAGTTCATCGTTAAAACAGACACCAAGGTTTCTAATTTTGAATGGTATTACTTTCAAGTTTGAAGGAGTTGTGTCTTCTGAGATTTAAGTGTCCAGTAATAAGCAGGGTTAGGGACTTAGAATGAAAATGTCTAAAATTTGTTAAGAGATCTCAAAATAATACTATTAAACCTGAAAAAAAGTTCATTCTTTTGTTTGAGAACAGTGTTTGCATTTTCCAATGACATCATACTTAAATCTGTACGTATTCTGTGTTATGAGATGAAAGTTGGATCAGTTAAGGTGTGACACTGCACTGAGAACAATACTCGTTTTTACCACCAAGTAGATGATGGTGGTATGGTAAAGAACGAGTAAAAAAAGTCTGTCAATTTGACAAATTTATTGATTAATAAGGAAAAAGAAATTACTTCTCTTATACAGGAGGTAGTTTCAGTAATATATCAATTTCAAAGATAATATACTGAAGATAATATACTGATAACTAAAGATGAAAAAATAAACTTCTCTGACACACGTGGTAGTTTAAGTTAATTCGTCCTTTTCACAGATAACTAGTCAGGGAGGTTGTACATGTCAAGCACGGCTTCAGCTGCTGTCTGGTGGTTGGTCCTCTGGAATTCACCCCACTCTTTAGACTTCAGCACCTGCGAGAATTAAATTCAAACAAAAATAAAGGCGAAGTGGACAGGACACCTACAGCTTTCCAAAACAAAGCTGAAAAAAGGGGTGAGGGACAAGAGTTTAAGTCATACCTGATCACGATGTGATTTCAAGTAATGAAGTACAACTCTCCAGAGAGACGGACTGTTGTTTGCAGCACTTTTTTTCAATAAGTTGCAGCAGGTTGATGAAGCGTTGTTGATATTAGATGACAAATTATGCTTAAGCCTCTCTGAGACCTCATCACACAAGTCAGAGACCAAGTACATATCAGCAGCTACGAGAAGCTTGACCATGTCAACATTGTCTCCAAGACTTCCTGTGTAGATATACCTAAAAAACAAAAATGGAAAGAAGAGAGCAAACTATGTTAGGAGAATTGAAAAACACCAACAGTACATCTGTACAAGCCATAATAAACCAGTCACAGTTAGTACCTGAGCATCTCCTTGAGGACGGGTAGTTCCACATCAACGTTGACAGTGTGTCCATCCCACTCTGCGTCGAACGAAGCAGAAACAGTACATTCAGAGATTTTCGGTATTTTCAATGACCATGTCCATTTTGAGTCGGGCGAATCTAGATGATATTTGGATCCGGGAGCCGGGATCGGGATTGAAAAATCCACATTCGTAGTTGATAAGGCCATTGTCTGACGAAACCAAAAAGAGGTTATTGATGTACTTTCGGGATTAGTGATGTGCACAGCACGTTGCCATTATAACCTCTCTGTAACGCCACACAGCAATAAAGAAAGACGGGGTGTGACGAGACTTACCGTAATTATTGGAATAATAAAGCAGGAATCACTGCTATCCTGACCACTCTTACTACTACTGGATTGATTTTGCTCAAGGTGATTTTGCTTCATTCGCTCTTGTTCACGCTTCTTAATATCCGGGAGCCGGGATTATCGGGATTGAAAAATCCACATTCGTAGTTGATAAGCCCATTGTCTGACGCGTGGTCTGACGAAACCAAAACAGTTGCAACACTGACCACTCTCACTACTACTGGATTGATTTTGCTTCATTCGCTCTTGTTCACGCTTCTCAATTCTATCACTGAAGTCACTCTTACTACTACTGGATTGATTTTGCTCAGGGTGATTTTGCTTCATTCGCTCTTGTTCACGCTTCTTAATTCGCTCTTGTTCACGTTGTTTCTCCTTCTTAATTCTATCACTGAAGTCATCTATCCTCAGAGGCAGACCTAAATCTTTTTTATAAATCCTTGTTCTTGTTCTCTTCTCTGAATCAGGCACTTTTTCATTTGGATCATTATTACCATGCATATCAATCTCTAAATTAATATATTATCTAATGAGTACTAGTATATATATATATATATATACTATATATATGGTCGCGCCCCAGTGGCTGCTCTTGTAGCTGGAGTCACGGTAGAGAGTAGTGAGTGAGTGAGGATGCGACGGGTGCCCAGTCCGGACGACGACTATGGCTGCGAAAGCACTTTCCATGCGCTGGCGCAGGCGGCTGGCGACCGCACCCCGGTCGGTCCTGAAGTACAGTCGCCTCACTATAAGCAGTAACTTGAACATTGCGCGTCAAGAAAATAGTCCCTACCATCGTGATGGAAACCATCGCACTGCTGTTAACCGAATACATAGTAATGGACAAAACTTTATCGTTGAGCACAGTAAATATGTAAATAATTTTTATTCACCTCTGTGGCACACCAGCAAGTCCACAATAATTACTTTTCTCAAGAAAACTAGAAAATGTGAACCTTTTTTATCTGTTTATCAATACTGTTTCCGGTGCGTTTTAATATCTTTCTTCTTCCACATTCGGTAGAATGTCGCACACAGAGATGGAAAAGGGCGAAGACCCAACAAACAGCGAGACGTCATTCCTGTTGGTTGGTGAGAAGAAACATTCGGTCCAGCAACAACACAACTTGAGGTACTACGTACTACCAGTAGTAAGCAAGCAAGCCAGCCAAGGAGAGGGTTCCGTACACACTTTGCGCCCCTCGATTGCGGGCGGCGGGCGATGTACTTCTTCACTTATTGTGCTGCCTATGTTGACGCGAGTCGACGTCACCCGCCGTAGCGATGAGGCCTTATTTAGAAGAGGTTTTAGAGAAGACGCTCTAGATCAGCGGGCGAGAAACATGATGGTGATTGAGTATAGTGCGCACCCACCGCTACCGCGACATCCGTTGGGTGTAGAGGAACATGTCAGGGACACACACACACACACACACACACACACACACACACACACACACACACACACACACACACCAAACAACAGCAGAGAGACTCAAAGATGGAGCACGAGTAAGGGAGAGTGAGATGGGGGACGTTGGTTATTTTCACGTCGTCCTTGTTCCACAACGAATGACTTTCCCGATAGAGAAAAAGGGCCCGATCAGCCCTCTGCGCGAATTTCCCACGGTTTCACTCTTTTGTGGCCTGTCCGTCAAGCTCGACCTCGGCCTCGGCCTTCAGGATAAGCGAGTTGAGCCGGTGGCGGTGGCCGGCGGTCAGCGAAGGACGGCAAGGAACTCAAACTCGCTCGAGGTCAGGTCAGAAGGATACCGCCGCGCTGCTCCGAACGGTGAGCCATTACGTGTCCCCCTGATTTGGATTGTGGGTCCTAAAATCGCTTTGCATGTTGTTGTTTTTTTGTTGCCTGTTGCAATGTCCCGTGAGGCTTATCCTGCTTGATACTACTGCAGGATGTCGACGTCCCGAGAAAAACAAAATTTAAAAATAGGCCTTCAAAGCATAGCTCCCGCGGGCTAGCCCGGTGCATTCTTCTTGTTATTGTTTTTTCTGAGACGGAGGTGCGACCGTATTCGCCCTCCTCCTGACGGTTCGATTATAATTATTTTTTTGCCCCACTCCCATCTGTTGATATCTTTTATGCAAATGTTTCGGCAATCTGCGACACAGTATGAGCGTTTACCGGTGCGTCACCCCCCCCCCCTCCCCCGAGCTGACGCCTATAGGGGATCATCCTGAAAGTAGGACCGTCATTCGCCGTCACGAACCTAGTACTTCCAAGTTTTCGTCCGCCTCTGCAAACCCCTCATCATAACGCCTGACGGATAGGCAACATCTTGCCTGAAGTGCATGCGCGTATTGCGGGGTGGCCTATCCCGCGGTTCGCAGGCGCCGAGCTTCCTCCAGCCTCCGTAGTTTTGCCGAATGAATGTGAGGACGGGCGTTCTTTCTGGACGATCCGTTATGCGGCGCGAAAGTTTGAAAAGTATCGCGCAAGTTTTTCGAACACTTTTAGAAAGGGTGGAATTCCCGCTCTCGCTCGCACCACGTCTCTTCAACAACGCGAGCCTTTTGCCGCTCTTCGCGAGCAACACCAGCACTAGTACGTACCGTACGTACATTTGGATATGCGAGGCATTACACTAAGCTGAGTCACGCTCTTTTCAGTGTAAAATGTTGTTAAATGTGCATCGTCCGCTGCTGCAAACTTCACGCAGCGCACGACGACGACGACGACGACGGGGCACTGCTTGTCGTCGGCGCCGCTGGCAGCGCGCCCGCGCCGTCGCCGTCGCTGCACACACACACACACACACACACACACACACACACGACTGCTCGTGCTGCTCGTTTACTTTTTATACGTCGATCGTCACGTGTTTGTGTCCCAATGGTCCAATGTATGGCGGAGCAGCATAGGAGCCCCGCGCCAAACGCCAACAAGGCGTCATATTGTTGCGCTCGGGTGGAGCGGGTGGAGGCTGGTGGAGGCGGCCCGAGCGGTCCATTGATTGGTTCGCGTGGGTCCTTCCGCCGCCCCCGCCGCCCCCGCCGGCCCCGCGAGGGCGTAAGTAAACGGCCCGCGGCCAGCGCCGTCGTTCCCAGAATCATCAAGACGTCGTCGTCCAAGTCCGTCGCGAGTGTCGTCGCGCGGAGGAAGGACATTCTGAGTGATCGTGACGGACACGACGAGGGTGTAGGGTATGTCCTCTACTGCGGGGGAAAGCCCTCCAGACCAGCCAGACCGTGTGCTCCGCCCCGGGAAAATTTGAAAATACGTATCAAAACAATATTGATGAGGTCTTGTTTACGTGACCCCCCCTTTCAATCGTGGCTGTCGCAGTCAATCAGGGGGGTAACACAGTTGCCCCCCCCCCTCTCCAATCCTACCAGAAAAAGTCGCTGCTGCTGACGCGACGCCGCTGCAGCCCGAGAGTCACGCCCATGCCCATACCCGCACTTGTGTCGCCCAGTCAGTCCCTCTGTTTGCCCCGTTTCCAGACGCATTTCGGCTTCCGTTTACGGCCCTGGCTCTTATGATGTCGAGCTACATGAAAATGAGACTGTGGCCTCATAAAAGAGACCTTGTCCAACAGTAACGCCGCGCCCAAAGGCGCGAAAAGGCCGATGGCGTCGTCGTGGTCCCCGTCCTGCGGGCGCGCCCCGACGGCGCTTACCCACCGCCTGGACCATGCCTGGACTTCGGCTTTCTTCCTCTGCTCCAGATTTCCTGCTCAGGGATTTTAAAGTCCGCTATAAATTTCCGGAAAAATTTGAAACTTTTCAAGAAAAAAATGTACAAAAAAAATTAAAGTTTCCGGGAAAAATGTAAAAAAAAAAGAGTTAAGTT